ATCAAATTAAATAACATAAATTGATCAAATTAATTTAATTACCAAACCAGAACTAGTTTTATTAAATTTAATATTCATAAATTAATTTCATGAACTGTAATGTGAACAGATAATCAATTTATCCTTAATTGGTCCCACGAAATTGCCGACTTTTTCGTAATTATTTACAGAACAAGTGTTATTTTGCAAAAAAACAGCTCAAATTATCAAATTAAATAATCTAAATTAATCAAATTCATTTAATTACCAAACAAGAATTAGTTTCATTAAATTTAATATTCATAAATTAATTTCATGAACTGTAATGTGAACAGATAATCAATTTATCCTTAATTGGTCCCACGAAATTGCCGACTTTTTCGTAATTATTTACAGAACAAGTGTTATTTTGCAAAAAAACAGCTCAAATTATCAAATTAAATAATCTAAATTAATCAAATTAATTTAATTACCAAACAAGAATTAATTTCATTAAATTTAATATTCATAAATTAATTTCATGAACAGATAATCAATTTATCCTTAATTGTTCCCTTGAAATTGCCGACTTTTTCGTAATTATTTAGAGAACAAGTGTTATTTTGCAAAAAAACAGCTCAAATTATCAAATTAAATAATCTAAATTAATCAAATTAATTTAATTACCAAACAAGAATTAATTTCATTAAATTTAATATTCATAAATTAATTTCATGAACAGATAATCAATTAATCCTTAATTTCTCCCACAAAATTGCAGACAGAAGAATCCCCGAGTAAAGAGAGTTTATCAGTCTTTTCATCGAAGCTCTCCAGCTACCCTTGCCCCAGTCACTGGACCCTCCTCTACACCAGTGATCAGCATGGAGCTGGAGCTAATCGTCTCCTCCACCACATCCTGGGGTACCGAGGCCCAACGATCGTGTTCATTCGAGGGGAGAACGGCGACGAGGACGGAGTTACTTACTGCATATGCTCGTCCATCGAGTGGCGAGAGTCCCACCTGTACTGGGGGGACGAAGACTGTGTGATCATCGAGCTCCAGCCGTGCTACAGAATCGTGGAGAAGGGGCCCAAACTGCTGTACTTGAATACCAGCATCAGGGGGTATCCGCATGGCCTCAGGGCTGGCAAGGATCCACGTAATCCGTACATTAATGTTGACCAGAGCTTCGCTTCGGTTAGTTTTGGGGGTGCACCACACAGAATCAAGAGTATTGAAGCTTGGGGATGTGGGGATCGCAAATCAAGGTGAGAATTTCATAATAATCAACTTAATTAAAATGGAAAAAAAATGAAAAAACTTTTTTGTGTCGTGAAAAAATTAGGGCTTTGGATTTTTTAACTAAAAATTAATCGAAAAACGTATCCAATTGTTAACAATAATAGTCAATTACTAGATACTCAATTCTCAGAAATATTGAATGAAATTTCATCAGCATTCCCCCATTTTTTTCACTAGTGAAGAACACAAAATTAAATTCTTCGCAACGTGGAATTTTTCATGCACTTCGTCGTTAATCATTCATTATCACCGATCAATGATGATAATTCCCTTGTTCTCCCCCCTCAGATAACATCGTAAATACCTTATCACAGAGGCGCGTCATACCCACAAGTATGAATCGCTACATGTTTTTCATTCCTCAGAGAACGACAGTTGGAGATTAAAAAATGGCAAGTTAAGGAGGCTGAGAGGCAGCGTGTGGTAAAACTGAGTGCAGCTGACTGGCTAGATCACCCCGATCGTTATTTATTGGAACTGGCTGGCCGACCGTCCTACGTCAACGCTGAGAAATAAACAATTCGTATTTTATTGTTCCTATGGACATAATTTTTTGAGTTTTTTCCTTGTGTATATGTAAATATAATGATAGAATTATTTTTTAAATAGAGGAAAATTTTGTTTTATTTTCTTTTTCATTTTCGTCTCAGCAGTTTTATGATGAGGGAAGGAAGTGAAAACCGCACGGCCTTAAAGAATAAAAATAGCTTAAAGGATGAGGTGAAGAAGCTGTGGAGGTGTTATTACTGAAAAACCACGTGTTCCTGAGGATTTCCGAGAGATATTCCTTCCTTTCGGTCACAACAGCTCATTTTTTAGTCATTTTAATCGTGAAGTAATCTCGTTAATAAGTAATTCGAGAGAAAAAGGATATTTTTAATGAATCTAGTCTCTAAAAAAAAATGAGAAATGTTTAGTCGATATTTATTTTTATATACAAAAAGGAAAGGGCTTTTGACCAAAAAGTCTTGCACAAATTTCCATGATTCGAAACAGAATTATGATAATGTATGCATTCACTTTAATTTCCCTAATTTCGATCAGCTTCGTGATCTTCTTCTGTACTTGCGACTCCCAGAACTGCGTCTTGAGGTTTTCTTTGGCTTCCTGGATCTCCCTCGGCTGTTACTCCTCGATCTACTTCGACTCGCGTACCTCTTCTTCTTCGAGTGCTTCGTACTTGACTCCTCTCGAGCAATGGATGACGATGTCGTTATCGATGATTTAGATTTTCTGAAAAGAATGAGAAACCTTGAATAGAATTGTGGAAATTATTGAATAATTCGTCTGGGGAATATCGTAAGGTATTTCTCGTAGAATTTAACGAAACTCATAGAAGATAGTCTGACTCTATCCCACGAAATCACTAGGTGATTTGTTAAAATTCAGATGCATCTGTTGTAAATTCTAAAAAAATTCCAGTTAAATCATCTCACTGAGTGATTTAAAACGAAAACGTCAAGAAAATTTCCCAAAAAAAAACAAAAATAAATACCTAGGTGATTTAGCTCTTTCAGGGACTGCATGAGTTCCACTTCTGCTGATGAATCCCCCCCATGCATTATGATGCTTAGGCAGCGGTGGACTGGGCGTATGTCCATCAGCGTCATTCCCCCTGGCCTTGGACCTGGCCTCCTCGTACTGTCTCCTCAACTCCTCGACTTTCTTCTCCAGCTCCTCTGGACGCACTCTCGGGCGAGTGTAAAGCCTCAAAATCCTTCTGCAGACATCTCTGATGGAGGTTTCATCGACTTTAAAGAGGGAGAACCAAGGCGGTGACGTTGGGAGGGGCAATCGCAGCTGTCTGGCACCCAGGTAGACGCAGGCACACGCCACTGTCTCAGGATGATGCCGTAGGAAGACGTCGGAGCGCAGAGAGTCGTTCATGTAGTTCCAACACTTCTGCATGAGCTCCTGGTTCTTCTCATATCCCAGGACCTGCAGGTACATCACGATGATCTTGTGGGGATGCTTGACGTGAACGCAGAAGCCCAATTCCTTCAGCACTCGACGCTCTGCTTTAATCACTTGATTCTTCAGGCCTACGTAGTTCTGGTCGAGGATTACTGGAGTTATTGATCTAGAATAGAAGTGATCTTGTTATTAATCACTTGATTGACACATTTTTGTGATTTTAGTTTTTATAACTGATTGAAAGGCAATTCAGGGAGAATCATCGTGACTTTATAGGGAATAATTGAGTCGAAAGAGATCAAAGGAATGAAAATTTTTGGACTTTCTCAAGGCTCGGGCGGACTATCTCTCGAACGGGATCTTGGTTGTTTATTTTTTTATTTTGATAATCTGAAATGATCTTCAATTGCTATTCAATTTTGCATAGCCCTGAAGTCTTCAAAAATTATGATTCTACAATCAAAAAAACATTGAAAATGACAATTGGGAAATGAAGCTAATAGGGAGGAAATTGCAAATTAATAATTTGATGTGTCTAATGGCTGTTAGGTCGTCATTTGTTACAGTAGTCAATGGCTGTCAGATCGTTAGTTACCATGATAAATTAGCTATTCACTATTTCCTCTCTATCGGACTTATTTCTTAATCTTGATTAAAACCGATTAAAAACTCTTTGAAAATGTTCTGTTTTTTTCTACTTTTTTTGATTGTGCAGTCATAATTTTTAGGGACTCCTGCGTGATGTAAAATCCAGTGGAAATTGTGATATATTCTACAATACGAAGATGGCCTCAAATTGTTGTTTTAGACTTACTTTTGACTGGACACTTGTTTTATGTGATTAAAAACGTTGATGACGTCTCGTATCCTTCGTGGTGCCTCCTCAATTTTACTAGCTAGACAGACACATCCCATGGCTGTTGTCTCCATATTATGTCTCACGAGAGATTTGCTGTAGTAAAATCTCTGGAAGATCACCTGGCCTGTAGCCATCGCAACCTTGAAGAAAAATCCAGCTTTATAGCAACAGTATAAATAGATTCATCAATCAGTCTTTAAATTTATTTAAAATATTATTAACTTATCTATCCCCAGATTAACAAAACTAAAACAACTCATAAAACAACTGAAAATTCTCAAACAACTGTCATTGTTTAGATTCAAGTAAATCTAAAATCTCAATAGTTGAGGTTATGTCACATCAAGTTCAACACGTAAACAATGAACTCAGGAGGTCACAAACGAGTTTGATGGTCTGTTAATTATGGTTGAACATACCTGAGGTAATTTCAGCAGAATGCCAGCCGTTTGTATGAGCTCACATCCCAGAATTCTCAAATCAGTCTCGGTTTCAGCGTCGAGACCGTCCAAATGCGACGGAGTCGACTTGAGTTTCTCCTCTGGCAGGAGACAATTCTGAAGTGTGAGGACGATTTTGCCGTAGGGTTTGGCATTCGCTGATTGTGACTTCGTTCCGGGTGTTACGTTCTCTTTGGAACTCATTTTGCACTAATTTAATTGGATTTGTCCAGCGTTTAGCGCTGGAGAAAAATAACAAATTACGAACGGGAGACCGTCACTGCTGAGGCGCAAGGCGGACTAATCAGTGAACTAAATAAACGTATGACCATTGAACAAAAAATACTCTAGTCACATTGCGCCTCCAGCGGCCACTGTTAGTACTACAAAATCTGTCGGCGTTCAGGGCGCAATTTCTATAGAAATTCCTCGACTCAAATTGTTCAAAGTTTTTCATATTTCATTTTTTTATGGAAAGAGAAAAAAATTAAGTGAACTAAAGAAAATTCATGCCTGGGACTTCCTGAAATTTCGAGGAATCAGCGAAGACTGTAAAATTCAGATTAATTATTCCCCGAAAATTAACAGAAATCATAAAAATTTTGATCAATATATTCTTAAATATACAATTGAGTGAAAACCCATGAATATATCTGCCTGAATTTTCTCGTCTTTCGACTGCTCAAGCATTTGGAATTTCATTGCAGTTCCAGTGAAATTGGAAATTCCATGATTTTTCGCTCTCAATAAACTTCTATGTCATTCTTCCCAACATTATCAGTCACCTGTCCATGACGTTTCAATTTTTCCAACACTAAGACGTTCCCCTCGATCCCTTCGGATCAGTATTTGAGCTGCTCCTTACCTTAGAATAAAGGTAAATTCTACTTCACCCTCATTCATCTCCCATTAACTCTTCGCTAACGATTCTATTGGCTCCACTCGGAAACAAATCCGATTCTCCCCTCGAAAAGAGCAATTAATCGAAGAAAATTAGAGCCCAAACTCGCCATCGATTTTTAATCAACCCCCAAATCCCCCAAAACCATTGGAAGCCCTGCATAAAGGTAAATTGAACTCGCCCCATAAAATCGATCGTTAACCCAGTAAATATGATTACATCTGAATTAATTAAAATGTTTTACCGTTGATTAAGAACGACTGTGAACGAGTAATGAAATTCGGTGTGAAGTCCCAGTTTCACCAGTCTATTAGATCCGTCAGTTCCGTAGTCGTTCGGGGAATTAAGTTTCCCCCGGGATATAACTGTCTCTTTCCCCTCGTTATTCAACGGTTTATAATCACTTTCCCACGTCATTTGTATTCTCCGTAAAGGCGTGTGCTCTGTAATCCGCTGACTATTGACATTGAGAAAGAATCTCGAGCACTTCAATTACCGCGAAAGTGAATATAATCTGGGGGGGGGGGGGGTTTAATATTTTTAGAAATCATCGACAAGCAGTTTTCAGGTGACACTTGAAACATCTTCGAGGGGCGGGGATCAAATTAACACACGTGCGGGCGTTTAATTTACACACAATTACAGGAACCTCGGTGTGGGGGATTATTTTATGCATTTGTTGTGGGTTTAGGCGGTTTATTCTGTAGGTCAATGATTAAATTCTAAGGGGCATACTCAAACCATTTAGAGAATATTTAATGAAGATATTGAGGAAAGGGATTTAATTAAAATTTACAATATTTCTGAAAAAATATGAATATTTTTTAATCACTCGCTTTCGATATTAATGCTTGATTAAGAAAGATGAATTGAATTGTTGAATTGTTGAATAATTTAAACGAGTTTTTGACATTTTTGATTTAATTCCAAGGGAAGTCTCATGTTTTAAGTTAAAAAATTCCCTGATTTTTAAAAAAGGTTCCGATAATTTTGTTTTCATAAAATTTTAATCACCAAATTAATATTGATACTGTCTTATTGATTATTTTAAGTGAATTAAAAATGATCGAAACAGTGGATTCTTTGATGAACTAATTATTAAACTAATCACAGGAATTGAGCGCTAATTGACTCTCGCCAACGAATTAATTCTGATTTTGTGTCCTTTTTAGAGTATTTTTTGACCGTATAATATGCTTTCTCTATTCACTCTCATAACGAACCCCAGTGTGTAGGTCAAGTGCTTTTTCTACCCCTACGTGAAAGCGCAATTAAGTCCTTTCCCACGTGCGAGAGCAGGAAATATTTGTATCAATTAGAGGCGGCGTGAAATATCACAAACTTTATGACGTTTTAAAATACAGAAATTAAAAAAATACTCTGGAGGAGTAATTACCTTATGAGTCCTTACATTGCCGACGAGGAGTCCTTTTGGAGAGAGAAAAATATACAAAAAAATTTATCAACTCGTTGCACAATTTTTTTGCAAATAAACGAGTAAAATGGAGCTAATTATTCAAAGCAAATTAATTACAATCATTTCATTCATTCACTAGATGGGAATACGATTTTGTTTTATTTATTCATATTTTTTTGTAAAAAATAGAAAAAAGGAATTCGTCAATTTTGAAAATGCAGAAGGAGAAAACTATTCAAAGAAATTTATGTGATCGTCGCCCCAAATTTCCGAAAATTAATGAAGAAAATGAAAATAATTATTAGAAGGAAATTTGTCAACGTTAATTTAAAGTCCCAACTGTTTATTCATCTTCATTCAGAAGAGATCAGTGACGTGAGCATGCGCATGGGGTCCTTACATCGCCGACGAGGAGTACGAGGATATCACCTCCCCGAGACAATTGCCATCCTCAGTACTCGGTTGCACGCACGACCGTTACGAAGATTCATTAATCCATAATTAATTTTTCTCCGATAAAAGCAATCAATTACTGAAAAATCATCGCTCAAAATATTCCGATTAAATCCATCAATTATTTGAAACCACGTGTTATAAAATAATCAATCAATCAGTCATGATTGAATGCGCTCATCACGGGGCAATTAGAAACTGCATTTCGAATAATTCTCTGTAGTGAATTAAACGGTAATAAAATTCCCCCTAATTATGCGTTCACCTAAAAAAATATCAATTTCATCAGAGAACATCTTCACTTCATTTCTGAAAAATGTCTCATAACAGTTCCTCGTCAATTAATTAATTACCGAAACAATTCCGCAATTAATTAAACTCCACACGAATTCCGAAAAAAATCGCCGATCGTATTTCGCGAAAATCTCCAAAACCATCGGATTTATCGAAAAAAGTCATAAAAGCTTTCTTGAAGCCCTTGAAATTTCCAACAAAAAAGTCTTGAGTATTTTTCCCCCAAAACCACTCGTTTTAGAGATAATCCGCATCGAACGAAACGTCAAAAATCCAGTCATCACTTTATTTCGCAATCAATGAGACTATTGTTCTAATTATTGTTCCATTTCTTGTTGACAAAACGATGTTGAGAAAATTGAGTTTCTACCATCCCCGGATGGAGTAATTGACTAGGCAAATCCAGCTGATGGTGTTACTGACTAGTGCAGGGTGTAACGAAAGCAAGTGGTGGGGTTGTCTCAGTGAGAAAGCTTTGGCTCTTAACGCACTGTCTACAACCGGGAAGCCGCAGTTGGAGACGCGTTGGCCTTCGACACCGTGGTCATTCTCACTGGGACTATCAGCGGGTCATCGAACCGCCAAGAATCCTCGAAAATCTCGAGTCCTCAAGACTAAAAGAAAAAATGTAAAGTCCGAAACAACAAAAACCGAAAGGGAAAACTCGTTAATTTTCATTTTGCAATTGTGATTTGCCCCGATTTTTGTCAACTCTCACGGAGAGTTGATTCATGACCAGTGGACAATTTTAATTTCATTGAACTGATCGGCCCGCCAATTGATCAATTAGGTAATTAATTAGGGGGAACGACTTCGTTAAGATGAATCGAGTCAGATCGTTGGGAATTTGTTTTGTTATCGCGCTTTGTTGGGTGGCGGGTGGTGTCGAGGCTGGTAGCTGTCGCGAGTCGAATCTCTGCTGCTCGGGAAAGGATTCAGCGTGTGTCGTGCAAAAAGTTTCAATAAATTCAGCGTCACAGGGACTCACGGATAAGCCATGTTACTGTGATCATGCGTGTTTGAAGTTGGGTGACTGCTGCAGTGATTTCAAAGAGGCTTGTGGCGGTAAGTCTATTATTTCCGTGATCTCTCGAATTTTTGGGTGAATTGTCCAGGAATTTCGTCATTGGAAATTCACATTAAAAGATTTCTCTCTTTCTTTCTCTCTCTTTCTCTCTTTCTCAAATTCTCATGTAAATTTTTCTAAACATTTTTTCAATGAAATTATCATCGCATTTTAATTAATTCTGCAGGAAATAATTTAAACAGAATGATTAGGGGAAATTTGGTTATTCAATTTTGTTCTTGTGCTTTAAATAGTTCATCCTGTGCAGTGAATTAATTATTTGAAGAATTAATTTTTCAGAATAGTTTTCAAATAAAAATTGCAAGGCAATGTAAAATCCAAACGTGCGGATTATTCGAATGCACGAATTATAATAATGCATAGTGCAATACAAATCATGAAAATAACAAATTATTTCGAACAGTTGATAAAAATTTTGGTCTGAATTTTTCAATTGCAAATGGCAATTGTACTTTTCAAGGAATTTCGTAATTTAAAATTTAGTTTTATGAAAAAATTAATGGACATTCTAAATTTTAGTTCAATTATCCTATAAAAATTGATAGAAATCTACACAAAATTAATGGAAATGACTAATCGAAAATCAAATTCTTGGAACATTTTTTTTATTTTACGGAATGATCATCACATTTTAATTAATTCTACCGTTAATAATAAAAAATGATGTAGTGATGGAATGATGAGGAGAAGTTTATTTACAGAATTCTATTCCAGTGCTCTAAAGAATTAATCCCGTGCGTGAATTAATCACTAAAATCAATCAAAATTAGCTGCTGAAAAATTAATGTTTCAGAATGTGTCGACTATTTCACGTACGTTTCATCTCTAATTCACAATTGGCATTACAATACAAATTAGAATCCGAACGTGCTGATTATTCTAGCTCTCGGATTACGATCGTAACGCCCAAATTATCAGCTGGCATGCGTTTCCACTCGTTGCATATCAGCAGAATGCCCACCGCAGCCAACAAACATATGTTATTCATAACTCCATGCGGGGGTGATTAATTAGTACTAAAACATTCGACATATTTCGAATTTTCCTCGACTCCAGTGTCATAATCCACTCGGGGACATTAAACCCCAGAAAAATGTCCCAAATCGACAAAATACATTTTTCAAATTTATTATTTTTCACTCATTTTTTCATTAAAAAAATCATTCGGGAAGTTTTATTTTGAATTGAGCCATAATTTGTCGTGAATTATCAAATAAAAAAAAAGAGAAAATCCTGAAATGAATAACTATTATTGTTTTGCAGTCAATTTTCTCGACTCCTAAAAATGATGTTCTCACATTTCTCTCTGAACCCCAATTTCACAATCCACTCGGAGACATTAAACCCCAGAAAAATGTCTCAAATCGACAAAACATATTTTTAAAATTTATCATTTTTTACTCATTTAAAAAAAAACGATTCGGGAAGTTTTATTTTGAATTGCGCTATAATTTGACGTGAATTATCAAATAAAAAAAACAGAAAATCCTGAAATGCATAACTATCATTGTCTCGCAGTGAATTTTCTTGACTCATAAAACTGCTGCTCTCACATTTCTCTCCGACCCCCGTTATTCCCAAGATAATTAAAAAAATACCCTCATCGCCCTCAAAGCTCATAAACCCCAGGACCTTCATTGTTCGAAACTCCCAAAAACCCGAAAATAAAATTGACAATCACCCATCAACAGCCCCCACCCCCTGAAACCCTCCGCGACCCACGGAGAGAAATATTCAATAAAAATTACGTATCTTTTCCGTAATTCCGCAGCGAAATGTAGTTATAGGAGATTTTACTGAACTATCAGGAAGTTTTTCCAGAGCGTTCCGTAATTTTTACCTGAATCTCCTGTGAAAAATTACACTACCATCAGACGGAGAGAAATATTCAATAAAAATTACCAGAAAAAAAACGTAAAAATTACGTTTCAAAACGTAATCTGGGAGCGAAGTAAAATTCAATAAAAAGTGTCAATCGTCCCGTAAATTCTACGATCTGTTCCGTAAAAATTACACATCCGTCCGACGCCTCACGGCTAGCCATGAGTCACCGTGAGGGGGAGATTTTAACAACGCGTTCCGTAATTTTTCCGGAACTTTTCTTAAAAATTCTTAAACATCCAAGAATTTTCATGTTCTGAGGCATAATAAGTCTTGAAGTTTCTGTTAGATTTTACAACTTCCAGAAAAATTACGTGACTTTTTCGTATTTTTTCGGTGACA